GCCAGTCGTGCTGACACAACAAAACTCGGAACGGAGAAAAAATTTTGCGCGCTTGTGTCGTATGCCATTTGTAAAAGCCGCTTGTTATCTTTTGCAAGGTAAAAAGCGTAAAGCGTGTTATCTTGTTTACAAGAAGTTTTTATTATTTTCTTAAAGTTCACGTGATATTTCGGATTGAAACACGCGATTACCACGTTACTATTACGTCAACTACTGCAGACATTAGAAACAAATGACTGGATATAAACTTACGTGATTACCACGTTACTATTACGTTGACTACTGTGGGCATTAAAACAATTGACTGGATATAAATTACCACGTCGACTACTGCGGGCATTACTAACTAGATGTGAAGTTTGACTATAAGTCCTCGGACAAGTCAGGGTGTGGGATGTATGGCGGGGGTTGTAGTCTGGCTCCACTTGCAAAGATCATGTGGGCAGTATCCCACAATGACTGCGCTATGTGGCATTGGTGGAGGAGATGTAAGGTGCTGTGGTGGAAGTAGGATGTTGGTAATTTGAAAAATCGCAAATATCTCAAGAACCGTCAAAGCTACGCTTCTGAAACTTACATTTTCTATAACCACAATCTTACTCCATCCGCACGTTAAATTTTATTACGACGATACGTCGATCATAACGACTAATCTTGTAATTGAAATTATTCAAAAACTACAAGATATACGCTTCTAAAATTTTCACCGACCATAATTACAATCATAAACTATCCGCATATCAAATTTCACAACCAGTTATTACGTACACTCTTTCACAATTTAAAGATTAATTCCCAATTTCAATGTCGTTTACAACACTCAATCTTGTAATTGGATTTATCACAAATCGTACATAATAATCTCTATCGATTTTTAAGCAGCAGACAGATCAATGTCATGGTCATAAAATGTGTAAATTTCAAGACCGCGGCATTCGTGGTTGTCGAGAATCAATATCTTTTTTACTTTTTATATGACAATATTATTGGCTACGCCGATCATGTTCCATATTCAGTGGATATAAACAAATACGGAATCGACCGTTATACCAACATCTAGAAATAGAAAATCAATGTCGATCATCAGTTTATCAAAAGCCCCCGATTTACAAAAAAAAAAAAATCCGTTTTACACGTAGAATAGGAGGCCATATACAAGAACCGGGATAGTAGCCAAGATAAAGAGCCGCTATTAGCGAAAGCGTTACTTATTAACCTATTGGTTTTAAGTCTATACCCTTTGCTTTCGAGCTTGTGCGCTTCTTGGTATAAGCGTATTCTTTACAGAGGGGATGTAAATGGTCGTTAAACCCGTTAGTAACACTTCTTCGGAAGAAGGTTCTTAGCCCTCACTCTCGAGTTAATAGGTGGCGTACTTTTAGTACTTGTGGACGTAGTTTAAACTGTATCCGAAGATATCCCTACGAACCGACTCTTATTTTCTTGATTCTCGTCCTGGTTATGACGTTAAACTGACCATTTCTCAAGTTAAACACTTTCTAAACAAGAAACAAACACTCAGTAGTATTGACACATGGGCGCACGGAGTCGGGATTGTATCTTTGGAAGGTATACACTCTTTTTTTAGTTTGGGAAAAATTTTATTCATAGAATTAGAAACCTTTTATACACTACTTTCTCGTTATCGGGTAGAGAAACTCAACGGCAGTATATCATAGTTCGTAGCGGAGCATCATAGTTCGGTGAGGTTGAATAGCGCGAGTGGAGCGATAGACACTAGTGATTTCGTGATTTCAAATTTCTGTGGTTCTCGCGGAAGAGATTACGATCTGACCACTATTCATAAACCCTTTAACCGATATGAACAAGTCTCTTAGCTGATATGATTTAGCTTGCGAGATATGCTTTTGCCTGATAACGCAGGTTTCCACACACCTACATTTACATCCAATCTATTACCCTTTTTTAAATAATTATTTTTGTGATTCATTTCATAATGATTAGTATGTCCAGCGTTGTTAGCACCACACAGAAAGGCTATGAGTATGAAAAGAAAATATACGATATCCTCGTAGAAGCCGGCCTTGATGTAGAATGGTGTGGAGGGTGAGCTTTCAGTGAGTATTTGTTGAGTAATTTGTATCTTGAAGTTACGCTGCCACTCGGGTGTAAATCGGAGAATTGAAAGCGCTTTGTGGCCACAAACAACAAGTTATCAATCAGGTGATTATTGATGTGGGTATCTGAAGGTACGCTGCCACTTGGGTGTAAATTCGGGTTTCAATAAACACGGTTGGTGTATATATATATTGATTCCCGTATCCGATATAGCTTATGAGATTTATTCCTGAGCTAGCTGTGGTGAATAGGATACCTTGAAAACATTATGTAGTTCCTGAAATGGTAATTGTTCTTTGTGAATGTTCTTCTCCGTCGCTGACAAAGCTTATGAGATTTTATTCCTGAGCTGTGGTGAATAGGATACAACCAATGAATTGAAAGCACTTCGTGGCCACAGCTTGTCATAGTTACTGCTGTGAATGTTCTTCATTTGGTCTTGATTATGATGATATATATACTCATTAAATTTAATATATAATTCAGAAGAGGTGATGGAGGTGTGGATTTGATTGTGCAACATCTCAGTTGCACAGTCTTGATTCAATGTAAGAATCATTACAGAGCAGTTGGTAAGTTCCTAAGTCTTAGAATTATCATTGTTATTAAATAGAACCCATTACTATTACTAACTATATTATACCATTATTTAATATTAAAAGGGGCTTCGCCAATAAGGGAACTCTCAGACCTTATTGGTGAACTCAAAGAAAATAAGATTTTCCGTTGCTACATTGGGATGGTAGTGGCAAAATCTTTCACTAAATCAGCGTACAGGTGGGAGACCAATTCTCTGAATCCTGTTAAATTATCAGTTGTAGATGGGGTGAAAATATGCTAGTGAAAGATTTGCAAGACTTCGTTGCCTGTAATCTAAATGCTCTAGCAGAGAAAGAGGGCATTGAAGTTGTATTATGTAATGCAGTAACAGGCACGAATAAAAAGCTGGAGAAGCTGGAGAAGTTGAAGGATTTGGAGAGAGATATAAAAATAGTGTTAGAAAGGGGTGAAAAGATGGAGAAGGAATGGGAAATGGAACGTTTAAGGCGAGATAGAAGAGATATTTTGATGGTTTCTTTTTTAATTTTAAATTTTATCTGTTTTTTGTATGTTATATTTTTTAATAACCCATTTTCGAGAAAAGAGGGAAAGAATTTTCTAGGTATATGATCGATGAAATATGTATTGTATTCCATGTGTAACTAAAAGGTGATGAGTATGAAAAGAGAATATATGATATCCTTGTAGTGGTGGGCTTAACTGTAACATGGCAATCGAAGTGAGTTTTCACTGAGTATTTGTTGAGTGGTTTGTATCTGAAAGTACACAGCCACTAGGGTGTAAAATATCAGAGAATTGAAAGCGCATCGTGGCCACAAATAACAAGTTACCAATTAGGTGATTACTTAGTGTAGATATCTGAAGTTACGCTGCCACTTGGGTGTAAATTCGGGTCTCGATAAACACAATGGGTGTATAAATATATCGATTCCCGTATCTGACAAAGCCATAAGAGATTTTATTCCTGAGCTGTGGTGAATAGGATACAACCAATGAATTGAAAGCTCATCGTGGCCACAGCTTGTCAAAGTTGCCTGCCGGTACCCAACCCTGGCATATGGGTAACGACTGGCTGTGAACGTTCTTCACTGGTTTTTGACTATAATGATACATATACTCACTTCAATATCTTTTAGGAATAAAACAGATAACGGGAATGGAGACGGAGGCATGGATCTGATTGTGCAACTTCTCGGTTGCACAGTCTTGATCCAATGTAAGAATCAATTGGTAAGTTTTTAAGTTAGAATTTATCGCAAAGAAAAGAAAGAAAAATAACCTCCGCAGACACCGAATTGCGCTAGGATTCGAATACGAGAGTATCATACGGAGGGCTCTCGTAAACCGCGGGATACCCGCGTATATAAGATGCAGGTGAGAATCTCACTAAGTATTTGTAGAATAGTTATTATATCTGAAGGTACGCTGCCATTAGGTATAAATCGGAAAATTGAAAGCGCTTCGTGGCCACAACTTGCAAGATAACTATCATATTGTGTATGTATCTGAAGGTACGCTGCCGCTAGGTGTAAATCGAAGTTTTCGAGAGTATAATGGATACAAATTTATCGAAATTTCGTTACCGACAAGCTGTTGAGAAGGTACTCCCTCCAGTTAATGAAAACTGTCGAGATGGTAGTCCCTCCGGTTGTGGTGAATAGGATACATGTAAAGACACTTTATGTTTGTTAATCTGAATAGTTGTGAACGTTCTTCTCTGTTACCGAAAAAAACCATTGAGAGTATTCTATGGTTTTGTGGTGAATAGGATATATTGATCAGTGAAGCGAAAGTGCATCGTGGCCACTTTTTTATTGTGAACGTTCAACTATTATGACATAAATGCTTACTTTTTGTTGAATATTAGTCAATGTAACTGTGGGGACGGCGGAATTGACCTAACCGCCGTCTACAAAAACATTGGATTCTACTTCCAATGTAAACGTTGGTTGCTTCGAGTTGGTTAGTATAATATAAATTCAGAAATTTATGATAATATTACATTTTTATATAGGCGCTAATGTGGTAGACGCCTTAGTCGGTGCCGTGCTCCGTGAAAGACAGAGAAGATCGGAGGTTGTGGCGGTGGTGGTAGCACCATCGTTCACAGAAGGTGCAAGAAAAGCAGCGAAGGCTGCATCAATTCCCGTTATCCTCACTAACGCGGATGATGTAGCTGACGCTGTTTTAGATTATAAAAGAAAGAGAGGGAGGGTGTTGAATCATTTATTATTGAATGATATTAATATAAATAATAAGATAAAATAAACAATAAATGATATACCAATAATCAACAACAAAGAGATAAATAAAACCAATTATTTACATATTTTAAATTTTATGTTATCTTTCTCTAATATGTTACAAAACGTGTTAGAAATTTTTACATTATTCCAATTAGTATGTTCGAAGATGATGTACTTACTAAGAGCTAATTTTGTTTCATTATTTTTTGAAATGTTTGTAATTTTAACAGGAACTTTTTTGAAATTGGCGCCAAGTTTGATTGTTTTCCGAAAACAGTAAAGACGACGATTATCACTAGTGAAAAACATGTTATCTTTGATAAAAAGTTGAATAATTGATCTTTGATATCCAAACTACCATCAACAAGATCGTTCATTAAACTTTCGAAGGAGTTCCCGTTACTAAATTTAAAATATACAAAATATTGCAAATATTTAATATCAAATGGGTCTAATTTAGTTAAAATATAATCATATTGACCCAATATATATAATAAATAGTTGTATTTAAAATTAACTGTAAAAATAAAGACAAAAAATAGACAAAAATAAAATGGTAAAAAACGCGAATAAAAATAAAAGACAAAGAAAAATATATTACTACATATAAAAAGTTTACTGGTCCAACCATTCCCATTGCTAAACGTCAAAATCACCAAGATATCGATTCCATATCCACAATCAAAAAGTCGACAGAGCCTCGGGAAGGAAGGCAATTGCGTTTGAATCAGCCAAACAAAATCGCAAGTTCAACATCAGCTTAACCTGCTAGGAATCATAATGAGAATTCGGCAACTGTCAAGTAAACGATAAACTTTAATGTATTTCAATAGAAAACTCATATTACGCGTTCTTATGTAATACACTGTTGGTGAAGGTAGGTTATACGGCTAGAGTGCCCATTTATGGTTATACATACATATTTTTTATCAGCACGTTATGAAGGTCGACGGCGTTTCTCTGAATGATAACCAGGGCTGCCAACGCAGAACACAGCTAAGGAATAATAATAATAGCACGCAGATTATATGTATAAGCATCGTAGAGTTTTGTGATAATATTACGTCATTATTAAACTCCTTATATCTTACTGATAAACAAAAGTCGCATTTACTTTGAATGTATAATCAAGACATGGAATAATTTTCTTCCAATAATCGGAGTTTCTAATGCATTGCATGTGGTCATCTAATTGATCATATTCACCTTTAATTTCTTTGAAATTCATTAGTGTCTAAAATGTTTCTAAAAATTCTAAAATAATCATAACCAATATTTTGGGAAATTTTTCAAACCGTCTGGTTATTATTAAAAGCAGTACAATACTTTTGCATTTGAAATAAATTACAAAATTTATTATAAAAGCAGTAAATAACAGAGGTTTGACTCGAGGGACAACCTAACTGTCAAGAATTGAGATTTGCATGTATGTGTAAAACGTCGAGATTAGTCACTAACTGTATGTAAATAAATTTATACGTATTATATGGGCCATACTGTCAGAAAATTTAAGAATTGTACGTCAACCACTATTCCGTGTCTTTCGACTCAATATGTGAATACAATAATAATTATACAAATTATATAGGCCAATATTATTACGTACTCACATATATTCCAGAGACAAAATAGGCTTTAACATTAGCTAATGACTTGATAGAAGTGGACATGTTAGCGAAGCCAATTTATTTACAAAATATAAAGCCAATAAATAAAATTATAAACTAAATTGTGCTTGGGCCTATCTTGCAACTTGTCATGTACATGAATACTTTTAGTTTCCAAACATTAGGCCTTTATACACAAAACTGAATTGACATTTCAAAACTGTTTCTTGGTTTGGGCAAGTCTCCTGTGGGTAAAAATTTACTAGAGTATTTACTCTCCTTCTCGAGACGCGATAAGGGTTTTATATCAGTATTATAGATGGTATTCCAGACGTCCGACTTATCTTTTAGCGCATCGCGAATACATTCATTGACTCGATAAGTATCTGGACGCTTTTCAGGATCAGCATCGCAGCACATTTTGGCAAGCCTCTTATATTCTTCTGGCGCTGAACCAGGCATCCATGGTCGAAGCCCACCCATAATATCACATAATAAATGTCTATCGAAATTCCTATCCCTAAAAGGTGGATCGCCAGCGGCCAACAAATACATAATAATTCCAAAAGAATATATATCTGATTTCTGAGTAAATCTGCAGGTATGAAAGACTTCTGGTGCAATGAAAGGTAAAACACCTCGAATGGCTGAATTTGACTCGCGCGAATTCACCGATCGCGAGAGACCAAGATCGCATATGAATGATTTACTTATACGAAAATCTTCTTCCGTCTCGGGCGCATTGTCATGCAAAACTATATTCCCCCCATGGATATCACAATGTACAATTCCTGTGTTGTGAATATCTCTCAGATAACCCGCGATATTCCTCAAATATTGTAATTTCATTCTCCATGTCAACTTGTTAATATTCTCGTCCAGATAAGACAGAAGATTACCATTATTAGCATATTGCATAACAATGATGTATTCTTTCGTTGCTGGATCATGTGTGGCTCCATAAATTTCAAGGAAAGAATAGCTTGCGCACTTGGCATGATTTCTGAACTGTAAATAACAGAATCAGATCAAGTATCAATTTAATTAATAGTATCAAAGATTGCTCACCTCGGAAATAAATAATTCTGGCGTCTGATAAAAATTCTTAAAACGTTTGAGAACAACAAGTTCAGGCATATCTTTCTCGAACCTGCCTTTATTTTTGGCAATATAGACTGTTCCATAACCACCAGATCCAATCTGTTTAATTTCTTTAAAATCAGTATATGGCATATGTTTTACGCGTTTATTAATGCGAATAAATCTGTCCAATAGTGCATGCACGTCGTGATATTAGCACTAAATAATATCTTCGAGTCGATGGGTCTTGGGTGATACCAATAATCCAAATATTATCCGGTGTTAATATCTCTGGGTATTCTTCAGTTAGCTATTCGAGTAGACGATACAGTTATCAATTAACCGCGACAAATTGTTACTGTTCACATTGTTTGCGCATAAAAATATTACCTGATAAAAATCAGCTTCAATAATCTGTTTGAGTATTACTTTTGTCCGTTCATTTGTTATCGGTTCTAACCAATCAGCCATGTGAGTGCAACCATGGCGTAATAATGTCGTCGTCTCCCGTACGTTTGTCAACAGACGATCATACTCAATCCATTGTATGTAGGCATCATGTATATCCATCGTATTATTCCATGATTCCATTATAAATTGATCCAAACGTTCGTTACCAGTAGTCCAATCTGGAGGTGCCGGTGCTTTACAACGGTAACAGAATGCATTTATACTTGGTTCTAATCGACGTATACACGCGAGACATAGTCCGCTTCCATTTTCTTCTTTTATTAGGTAGTACTTGTGTTTACTTGCATCGTATGTA